TACACTTTCAGGCCTGAGAGGTGAAAAAAGCAAAGTCCCTGTTTTCATAGTTTACATTCTAAAGGGGGAAGTAGACAAAAAAGAAGCAATGAACAAACAAATTAACAAGATGCTTTCAAATGATGATAAGTGCTAAGAGGAAAATAAAATCGTATGATATGAAAAGGGGCAAGAAGAAACTGAGACACTCTATGTGGAGTGTTCTGGAACATGTCACTGAGCACTTGCTTACATTTCAAACTGAGATCTGATTGATAGGAGGAAACCAGCAAGTGACAATCTGGGATAAGAGTGTCCAAATGGAAGGAACAGCACATGCAAATGCCCTAAGGTGAGAAAAAGGCTTGATGCAGATGAGAGACACAGAAAGAGGGCCAGTGTGGGTGGAGCAGAGCCAGGGAGGTGATGGGGAAAAGGCAGGACTAGATGAAGCTCAGATGGTTAAACTCTTTGTAAGCCCTGGGAAGGAGTACAAATTTTAAGTGCTATGGATAGTTTTCAGTGGGTGAGTGATATGCTCCGATTTACATTTTAAGATCGCTCTAACTGCTGTGCAGGGGATGGATTGCAGTGGGGAATTCAGTAAGAGACTCCCTGTACTCCAGTCTATTGATGGGAGATTTGGACAAGGGGGGCACACAAGAGAAAGAGAAAAAGATGTATTTTGGAAGTGGGGCCAACAGAATCTGCTGTTGTGTTTAATGGGAGTGAATGAAAAGGAAGAATCAATTGTGATCCTTAAGGTTTTAAAAGAGTACTTATTGTAAAATAGTTATTTTTTAAAGTAGGACAGAAATCTGCCTCTTGCGGCTGCCATATATTATGGTAGTTATAATCACATCCCTGTGAAAGAAGCCCATGGCTCACCTTCAAATGTTTGAAGGTAATTATTATGTTCTTCCTCAGAGGAATATTTCTTTATCTAAATATTTCATGTTTTCAATCATGACTCAGGCGAGGTGGTTTTAGATCCCTTTACTGTCACGAGTGTTCACTTGTGAATGCGTTTCACTTCGGTTCTATGTTTTTCTGTGACCCATTCACCAACAATCGACAAAGCATGCAGTCTAATCAACACAGCACAGAACCTGCTTTTCACCATCGTCCTAAGTAATAGCTTTATATTAATTTCTTTTTGACAGCTACCTCATTTTGTTTTCCCTCAAAATCTTATAGGGGCAATAAGAATAGTACTTGTGATGATGTAAGTTAGGATTAGAGGAAGACCATGAGAAAGGTTTAAGCGGGCAAATGGGGGAGAATTCAGATCTGGATTTGGGGGGAGGAAGGATGGCTTTGATGGAGGAATTTGACCCTAAAGAACTTTGAGTAAGGGACAAGATGCTGAGAGGTGGCAATGGGGGAAACTGTAGGAAGGAGAGAAAGTCACAGTGTGAGCAGTGCACGGGGCACAGTTCAGGTTGCTGTCATGCTGGGTGTGTGTGGGAACCAGTGTGTGACAAGAACAGAAAGGGAAGGGCTGTGACATGGAGGCCACACATGTCACAGCGAGGAACCCAGACTTAGTTTGTGAGACAAAAGGATACAGCAGCAAAGGTTGGGGACTTTGGCATTGATGTTTTTAAACAATAGAGAGAATTCCACTTCAGGAAGATTATTCTGCTAGCAGACTTATTTAAGTGAGGAAAGACAGGAGAAAACATTGATTTCCTGCAGTGGTCCAAGAAGAAAATAATGAAGGGTTAAACAAGGCTTCGAAGAGTGGGTGCGGGAATGGTAGGGAGCAATGCAGAGGGAGGGTGGGATTGAGCTTCCAGAGCTTAGTAACTGCTCAGATGGAGGGACCAGCAAGGAAGACGAAGGAAACATGTCTTCCCACAAATATAGTACTGAGATTTTACACAGAAACATCACTTTTCACCTATCTTGATTATAGATTTAGCTATAATTATTTTTTAGACTTCTTTCCTATCACTCATGTCTTTAAAGCATACAAAAAGAAACTAAAATATCCTGTTAAATCATAAGATTCTGGCCAGTATAGGAAATGGCAGGAAATGAAATCTTATAACTTAGAAATAAAAGATATATTTAGGCTAATATCGTTTCAGTGACTATTTTAAACCCCAAAGCTCTGCTCTCCTGCTACGCAAGAACGGATTTGACTACACAATGCACACCACTGAAGTCAGAATTCAGGCAGCAAGCACAACATGGAATCTCACTTGTGGCTCGAAGTTCTTCATCTCTCAATTTTTAAGTATTATAGACAGCATGCCCCCTATGCTCTGTGTAGGACTAACAGGTATTTTCTCCCATTGCATTTGCTAAAAACTGAGGGAGGGGGAGGAGGAGGGAAGGGATGGTAGGGAAAGGAGGAGGGGAGGAGAAGGAGGGAGGAAAAAGGAAGAAGAGGAGAAAATGTAAAATACAGACATATACTTGGCAGCTAAGGCAATGTATTCCTATGCAAAAATTAACACCATCTTATTTCTTTGCTTGTCCTTTGGATTTTATCTTTTAATTGTTAATGTATTTCCTAACTGATTCAGTCCAAATGAAAACATTTTTACTGTTGCTTTATTACAACTTGAAAATGATATATTAATAAAAACTCAGAAATTACATAAAAGCATGAATAAGAGAACCAGATTGATCTATCATCCCACCACTCAGGGATAACTAATGTTAATATTTTATTTATATTGTTCTGGATATTTTGCTATGTGCATCTTTTTAAAGTAAAAATTAGACTCTCTTCTGCATCCCTTATTTTTAACACAATACATACTGTGGCCTCTTTCTCTTCCTATATCTCTTCCCTTTGCCTCCCAAATCGTTCAGTCCTAAACACCTTTAGGAGGAGCAGGGAAAAATAAATGTCAGTGCTGGGTAAGGTGAGAAAAGGAGCCGTGGGGAGTGTTAGGGCCCAAAAGCTGTGGGAGGTCTGCATGGGAGGGCCGCCTGGTGTGGAGAATCAGAACTGGAGAGGGGTAAGAAGGGCATTTAGGCCGGGGGACAGCCTGGCTCAGGATGTTAAAGGTGAGGAGCGTATGCGTGCAAAGGAATGAGCCAGGATAGAGAGTTTGAGGCCAAGCAGGGTGAAGAGGTCATCCTCACAGAACAGCCGCCTGATCTAGACAGTTGAGCCCAAGAGAGCTGCTATGGTTTGAAGCGTCCCCCCAAGTTACTGTGTTGGAAACTTAATCCCCAGCGCAACAGTGATGGGAGCTGGAAGAGGTGATTCAGCCATGAGGGCTCTGCCCTCATGAATGGATTAATGCTGTTAACACAGGAGTAAGTCAGTTATGGCGGGATTGGGTTTCTGATAAAAGGATGAGTTCAGCCCCCTTCATCTTGTGCGCATGGTTTCCCCCACCCCTTGCCTTACTGCCTTCTGCCTTCTGCCATGGGATGATGCAGCAAGGAGATCCTTGACAGATGTCAGCCCCTCGACCTTGTATTAGCCTCCAGAACTGCAAGAAATAAATCTCTGTTCTTTATACATCACCCAGTCCCAGGTATTCCATTATAGCAGCGCAAAGCAGACTAAGACAGGAGGTGAGGAGAATATATCCATAGAAGAGTGTCAGAGGCCAAGCTACAAGAGGACAGCATCGTTGTGAGGTGTAGTCCAGCATGTCGTGTCCAAGTCAAGCGGGCTGTGAGGTGAGGACAGTGTGTATGCAGGAGGGTTCCAGGTGTGGGAGCATTAAAGTTATTACTTTATTTGAGGAGAACCAGCATCTTTATCAATTGAATTTTCCAATCCAGAAATTATATATTTCTCCATTTATCAAAATCTTTTATATCCCTCAATATAGCATAATTTTATTACCATATTTCTTAAGCTTACTCTTATGTGTTTAATATTTTCATTGCCATTGTGAATGATATCTTTTTCACATCATGTTCTGTGTTTCCTTTTGGTATACAGAAAATTCATTTAGTATAATAGTTAATTATAATTAATTACCTTGGTGAATTGTATATTACTAGTCTATTAGTTCTAATAATTTTCAATTGATCCTCTTGGGTTATAACTGCTTTTCAATGTATTCTAATTAAAATCAGGGCCATCACTAAATTTTGTTAATATAAAATCACTTAAGTCAAATTATAGACAGGGAAGAAAGACTAAAAACATTAATGACAATGGTCATTAATTAGTTAAGCCATTTACTCATTTAACACGTATCTACTGAGCAGACACTATAACCCTGGCCAAGTTAACCACACAATGTAAATAATCAAAGAACCTATCTAAGGATGAAATGAGATAATGCGTGCAAATTGCTTAGCATTGCACAAGGTAAGTGCTCAATAAATGTTAACAGTGATGATGACAATGATAATAAAACACACTATACACTGCCCTTCCCAATGCCTGCAAAACCACCGTTAGTTGAGAGAATGATCGAGCTCTTTTTTTTTTTAAGTCCAGCACATCTGTATTTCTTCTCCCCACTCCCCTTTGCCCTTGGTAAAATGGCCCTAATTATCCTTCTCGCAGACAAAGAAAAAGAGGAATCTATAAGAAACTCTTCTAGAATATACTAACCTTTCTTTAGCAATAATCTTCCTGCCTGTCAAATTTCTGAAGCCTTCTATATATAATAGGCCCTCAAGAAATACTGATGGATTTCAAACAAAATCAGAAAACTAAAAAACTCTCAAAGTCCTATGCCATATGAAGGTATCAGTAAGTCCAGCAACTTAATAGACAAGGCAATTCCATAATAAAATCTGAGATAACAATTAACTAAAATCATTCCTGTAAATTCTTACTGAGCTATAATATTAAAGTGTCATATGCAATAATATTAAATTTAAATTTTGAAATATAATAATTATATTCCCCTCCCGAAAAGTATGCAACATTCAGAATCATTTGCTGATCACTGCTCTTCAGCTTTATAGAAACCATACCTGTTTTATAATTAAGTTGTAAATTGGGAAGCTGCTTATATTGCCTATTAGCCAAAAGCCCATTTTCTTCAAGAAATGTAAAAATAAGTAAAACCCAAACCATGGCTTACCCACTTCAGCCAAAGTTCTGATACAAGATTCCACCGAGGCTTTCTGTGCCGGGTTTGGCCAGGTGCAATTGTAAATCCTGAAGGCAGATTGCAGCAGCTGAATAAAAACTGGCTGATGTGTCTGAAAACAGAAAGCAGGCAAATAAACCATCAACACTACTGATGCAATATCTATGCATTATCAGAAAGGTTCACCAAAATAAAATACAATACAGTCGTTTGAGTTCCAGTGCCATTTAATAAATATCTCATTCAACAAACATTATGTACCCACTTCATGATAGGCACCATGCCAGACACCATAGAAAACTGATTATTTGCATTTTATTGATAATTATATTCTTAACCAGAAAACGATACCATTTCTTGAAGCCAATGACATGAATTTAAGTATATCTTTTATAATCCTTTGTTTATTCCCAAGTATAAATAAAGCAGATGTTTCTGAGTTTGTTAGTTTGTTTTGGTTTCATATGATGGGTAAGTAGAAGAGACAAGCATTTTAAACTACAAAAACATTTTCATATGGTTCTATCTAATAGTTTAAAATTTCTCCCTAAAGAAAGTATAATCAAAATGATATTTTATAAGAGTAGTACACAGTTCCTGTAGGATATTCGGAAACAATAAAAATAAAAATCATCACTAATCCTACAATGTAGAGATAAACAGTATCAATATTTTGAAGATATTTACTTCCTGGTTTTTCTGTTCTTTACACAAACAACTTTGAATGCTACTATAATGCAATTCTGTGGCCTAATACCACTTCATGCTTATTTTCTTAAGTCATCAATTTTTCCTTTAAAACATGATTTTTTTTCCAAGTATCACAATGTTTATTGATAGATACAAGTATATAAAAAATCAGGGCATGAACATGACTTGATAAATTAAGTAGACTTAAATTCAATACTATAATAAGAGGGACCAATTCAAATTCTCACCATTTGTTTCACACCCACAAAAACCACTTCATTGCTATATAATCTGCCATCCTACAGATAGATAATACCATATGTTTTATTTAGCTTTTCTTCCATTTGTGGACATTTATGATTGGTGTCAATTTTTTAGTATTATAAATACTTGGATGAAATTCTTAATATATAAAACTTCTGCTAATTCTTTTAGGATAAATTGCTAAAGTAGAACTATAAGGGTCAAAATGCCTATCCATTTAAAGAATCATGCCATTATTTCAACACTTGGCAAACAGTCAACAAACAGATATAAAAGTTCTTATTCTGCTTAGAGAGAGAGAAAAGATAATTCAATTTGAAGATGGGAGTCTTTTCAATTTAAAATAATATTTGGTAAACTCCAAAAGGGACATAATAGTAAATAACATAAGAGTGTTCATCAGAAGTGCAGGAAATAACTTTCTGACCAGATCAAACTTTTTTCTTACTCAAATAAAATATTAATAAATTCTTTGCAACAGAATGCATTTGTACTTGTTTAAATTACCTGGAGGCTGGTACTGTTGTCTGAGAAAGGAGAATTAAAGAAGCCGCTCACAATGTTCATTATCGACTCAGTGACACACTTCTCTAAGAAGATGTCGGCGTGTTTCCTGTCTGTAGTTGTGTTGCAAACCTGGAGAGAAAAACAAAACAACTCAATACGTTTATTACATCTTTAAAATATAACTCAATACTGGAACCATCTAAAAATTGTCCTGAAATAGCTGTCAATAACATTTCTTCTGTTTTCTAAAGCTGTTTAGAATAGAAGCATTTCTGCCTGAAATCCATTAAAATTTTATCATTCTACGGTAGCTTCTCCTTCAAGTTTGCTTGTCAGTTCAGCCTTGGTGCAGAATTATTTCACAGATCCCCAGTCCCTTTCTCCTGATTTGCTTCCCCCTTTCTCTTGTACCCTAAACTCTCCCTCTGTCCCCAAGCTTGGCTTTGCTGGAAAACAGTTTTCCACTCAATGTGAGGAAATCAAAGAGGAAACAGTCATTATAAGAAAGGGGTGAATGTGATTGATGGTGGTTTGTATCTCCACACATTTCCACTAGAATACCTGGCTCAATGCAAACACAGAAAATATCTGGAGAGGAAAATAGAAAGGTAAGAGGAGGTAAATCAAACCCTTTCCAACAATTTTGACGTTTTCATCTACAGACTCTCTGGGGAGCATGAAGTACATGTTTGCATGCCTTCTCCTCAGAGTTAGCTAAGCCAGAAGAAACAATACCAGGACTGGGGACAGACCAAGAAAGAACAGCCCTTGTTCCTACTCTAATCTTTACATCTGATTAAATGAGGCAGAAATTGGTTATTTTGCTAAACTGTACATTTTGAAGTGTGTCAGGGTAGACAAATAGTAAAAACTAAGATGCATGATTAAAAATACATGAAAAAAAGCTGAGTAGTGAAAAGACAAGAAACATGGAGATAAAAAGAAGAAGAAAAAGGTGGAGAGGAGAGCAGAAGGTTTGAGAAAAGCCTGAAAAACTGGGGCAGAGAAAGAAAGTTTAAATATTCACAAAGTTGTGGTGGGTAAATATGGTGGCCACATGTTCCAGATGTTCTTGGACAATCCAAATTTTTATGTAATTTCTTTTTCTTTTCAATAAGGTGCTTAACCAAAAGAATGAGTAAATGAAATTTAATCTAGTATTGCTTTAAAACCTTTCACACGAATTCACAAAAGAGAAAAATTCCCTTCTGAAACCATGTGGCCCAGGGTTTTGGTTTGGGAAATAGATGTACTATTACTCAGTGGGGGTGGAAGAAAGATGACAGGGTTTGGTTTGTTTTGCATCTATGTCACTTCCCATCTGGGCAGTTCATTTTTTCCTTGACTATTAAATGACACCTACTTGACATTGTTATTAAAACTAAAAGGTTTTTAGTGCATCTAATCTGCTAGGGTTATTGGAGGGAACAGTGCAGTTAAAGGAAATAAATTATGTCAAATTATGTAATCTTCTAGTTATTGTTCCAGCATATAATAATAACATAGTGCCTGACACGTAAACGATGTTCAACAAATGTTTGTGTAATGAATGAATCAATGAAGTAATTTTGCAAAATGAAAGAAAGATTAAGAACTCATTTTCTTTTAGGTTAACTGTGGGTTAGGCTATATTTGGAGAACATCTAACCTAGGATTAAAATTTAATGTGGTCTCAGAACTAATATAAAATTGATTTTCCCATGATGGATAAGAATTAGGTTTTATTTCTTTTAGTATCTTTTTAGCACTGGCTTTTACAATGAACTCTTCTGATACATAGGTTAAATGTATCTTAAAGTTGAAGAGGTAGCAGACCAATTCTATCACAACCAGCCCAAGCAACCCTCTTCCTCATCCAGTGACTTTTCTCTCTGGAGTTATTATAGTACCACACTGCATTATCTGCAACTGGACATTTGCCAGAGAACCACCCAGAAATTTGCTTTTTAGTAAGTGAATTAATAAAATAATCTATTTCTAGATAAAAACTTTCTTCAAAATTCTGGATTATGAAAAGTGTGTGTTTTACAAAACTGTGTGGAATCTATTCCTCAATTTATTTAGACAAGAAATTCAAATAATTTTTCAAGATATTTTTTCTGCTCCATATGAATAACATTTTTACCTTGTATCCTACACTGTAATATCATAGATAACGAAGAAATGTAGGAAGCTACTTTTCTTATTAAAATTTTTAAAAACTTTTTAGAAAAAAATGACCTGATAAATATTAATATTTCTTTATTTTTTTACTTTACTTATATTTATTTCCTGTTACAATAAAGATTGGAAATGGCTCAAATAAAATTACATCACATCACATGATCTTTTTATGTGTAATACACATACTTTAAAAGTTTCAATCTGTTTGCACATATTATTCACATAACATTATTTCCTATAAAACATTTTCATGTACTGTCATTATCTAAACACTTATTTTTAAAAGGCTATATTTATTACATCATTCTAATGCACCATCATGCTTTAATCCAGTTTTGGAATGAGTTGAGGTATACATTAGCAATATTACAAATCATTTTCTTATATTCTTAGTTATTTCCTTCTTGCTAGTCTTTTATGATGTGATTTCCTTTTTTTTTTTTTTTGCTGTTTTATAAAGAATTGTGCAAAATTACTATTTCTACTTTAATATTTTTTTGTGTATGTCATAACCAGATGAGGTTACGTAGACAGTTTTACACTGCTTGTGGGGCTGATCCTCTAAAATAATAAATTAACAATGTTATCTACAAACTATGTATAGATACATAGGATGCTTCCTCCTTACCACCAACTAGCTCTTCCTTTTGGGCTCTGGTCCAGTGGGGAAGCTGCAGGCTTCTGATTTCAAGACTGTTCTTTTTTAAGCAGCAAAGGAGGCAAGAAAAACTTCATTTTCCTCTGCTGCACCTCTTTCAATAAAGGAACTTGTTCTGTGAAGTTTGGATTCAGTCAAGAGTCACACTTGGGGATCTGGGGGTCCACATGTGGACTGGAGGCCACGGGTTCCCCACCTCTTTAGGCATTGGCAGATCACAGAGTAGAAGAGAAAGAAGTCAAGCACCCACTCTATCTCTGCCTCGATGTCTCTTTCCTGTGGAGCCCCTATTCTCTGGATACAGCTCCTATTAGATCCCCTCCCCATGTCTCTGAGCCCTCCCCAGGCTCCAGTACTAATTCCTGCCCCACGCACCTTCAGGCTTAGGCGGGTAAAATCCCTGAGTGCTCTCCCATCCCTTCTTGGTTCCTTTAACCCTACCTACATCTGTTGGAGTGTGCCATGTGTTTCCTACTGGAACTGACTGCTATACTTGCAAATTATAATTGTTTTTGTCAATTTAATGAATTATTTTGCATTTGTTACATCATTAATAGGCTGGGCACTTTTCATACATCCATTTCATTCCTATATTCTGTCATTCACAAGTAATTCAAACTCTGTAAATCTGCAGTCCCCAACCCCTGGGCTGTGGACCGGTAGCAGTCTGTGGACTGTTACGGACCAGCCTGCAGAGCTCCGCACCCCCGTACCACTCCCATGAGTAGAAAAATTGTCTTCCACGAAACTTAGGAAATGCAAAATGCAGGCAGAGGAGGCAGCAGGAGGTGAGCACACAGGCTAGCGAGCAAGCAAAGCTTCGTGTGTATTTATAGCCGCTCCCCATTGCTCACGTAACCACCTGAGCTCCGCCTACGCCTCCCCCCTTACACACCCCCACCATGGAAAAATTGTCTCCAGGGAAACTGGTACCTTGTGCCTAAAGGTTTGGGACTGCTGCTGTAAACCACTTTCCAAAAACCTGGATAGTGAATGCACATTATGTATGAGTTTAACATATTTTGATAAGCTCTTTTAAGTTGTCATTTCATGTGTATCTTCACATTCTGACTATTTAGAATATTTATTTCATTACATTTCATTGTGTAAACTACTTTTTAGCATTCAGGCACTATTATTTATTTTGATCATTACTGTTTATTTAATACAAAAAAGGAAAAAAACCTCCTTCTATAAAAGAAAAGAATAGTCTATACATTTTTATCCTACTTTCTAACTCTTTACACCAGGGGTGGGGAACCTGTGGCCTTCTAGATCCTTAAGTGTGGCCTTTTGACTGAATCCAAATTTTACAGAACAAATCCTTTTATTTTTGTTAATACATTTTTGTTCATCCTTTACGTTATTATTTTATTTTTAAAATGAACATATTTAAAGTACCAAAGAATAAGTTTCAACAAAATAATCCTCCCAGATTGACCAGCACAATTAGAATATAAGTAAGCCATAAGGGCTAAATCGAAGGCTGCTACGTTCATGATTTAGTTCTAACGTCCCCCGCCTGACTGGTGCAACTAACACAGGAGACTGGTAGGGGTCAAGTACACCAGTCTGCTATCAGCTTTTGATAATGGAGCACTGCGTTTCTGTCTGAAGTAGAATTTGTGAATAGTTGCACAGCTTGACTGTATTTTTTAATTCTGTCTGCTTAACAGCCCATCATGTCAAAGAAGACTAAGAGAACACTGAAGGAAAAAAACAGATTTTTTAATGAGGATTGGGAATTGCAATATTATCTTGTTTCTGCTAAAGACAAAAGGATTTGCTTGCTTTGTGATACTGCAACATCAACATTAAAGAAAGTCAATGCTCATCAGCATTATAACACTCATAAGGACCATAAATATTTTAAATTAGAGGGAGAGGCGCAAAAGGTTGTATTACAGAAATTAAAAGATGGAAAGGAAAAGCAAAGACAATTCTTTTGAACAGCAATAAGACCTGGAAATGAGGCCACTGAAGCAACTTATAAAGTAGCTTACATACTCGGGAAAAAAAGGAAGCCAATCAGTGATGCAGGAATTGTGAAAGAATGCATCATCGAAGTTGCAGAATGCTTAGACCCTGATAATGTTTCAAAGTACAAACAACTGCCTCTTTCAAGGAGAACCATAACTGATCAGCAGCATAAATCAGCCTTCAACTTAACAGAACAACTTCATGTAATACTTCAAAAGGAAAATATTATTATTCAATCACAGTGGATGAATCAACTGATACTACTGACTCAGCATAGGTTTTATATTTCTTTTGAGTCATAACAGAAGATTTTCTTTGCTACAAAGTT